TCACTTAATCCACATGTTGCCCTGTGAGCCCGAGCTCGTTATTCCCATCTCAAAGCTGAGGAAACCAAGACTCAGGGATGATCAAAGCTTGCTAAAGTGCCACCAGCTAGTGACAGGTACAACCAATATGCCAACCTGAGACTGGCCTGGCTCTCTCCACCACACCACCAGCCTCCACTGCGGCTGCAGAATCCAGCCCCAGGCTGCTGGATGTGGTCGGGCTCTGGGACAACTGAAAGGACGGAATAGAGTGGACTCCACAAAGGGATGGCCGGCAGCCTCTGGTGTCTCAGGAGAAGCAGCACAGCATCATGGTTACCTGTGGATTCCGTGGGTTCGAATCCCAGCCCCGCCACATACCAATTGTGTGGCTAAACTTCTCTCCATCTCTCTCTATTCCCTCCTCTGTAAACTGGAGAGAAGGTAATAGTCCCTGCTTCCTAGGGCTGCTTTGAGGATTCCATGAGTGTGAAGTCTCTAGAACAGCACCTGCTCATGGTACGTGCTCAGTAAGGGCAGCCGCTAAGATCGCTGGTCCCCATGCTTGTGGAGTCTTGTTGTAGTCACACCGTCGATACTAAACAGCTGTCACTAGGGAGCGTGGACAGTCTCTGAGCACACAGGCCACCATCCCACGGGCCAGGTGCATGTGTTTGGGGCCCTCAGATACACAGTTTCCATGAGTCACCGTGCCCTTCCCACACCTGGGGGGCTGTGTGACCAGCACCCACCCAGCGCCAGCCCAGGCCCCCATTGGCTGCCTCAGCCTCTCCTCCCTGGAAATCCACGCCCCAGTGCAAGGACTCAGCTGAGCTGAGAACCTGGCTGTACCTCCTTAGGTGTTTGTGCTTCCCACCCAGGTGGGTACAGAGCTCCACCCAAGCCCTGCTAAGCGGAAGCCTCCTGGAACCACCCAGGAGCCCAGAGAAGATACACCAGTAGAGGCCAGGAAGCCACATGCTGTTTATACAGCCCTGGGGGTCACATGGTTTCCCAGGCAGGGCTCCGAACCTGTGCTACCTGCAAGCGATTTCTCTCCCCCACACAGACCTATTAATAACAAGGTTAATGGTACGGCCATCATTCACTGAGCACTTAGCACCTGCTGGGCTCCATGCTGAGCTCTCTCCAGGCATTCTCCCATTCACTCCTTACAACAACCTCATGAGATTGGCATTGCCAGTATCCTCATTTAATAGATTAATAAACTGAGGCTTGGGATGTTTCAGGAGCCTGCCCCCTGCTCCAGCCCTGCTGTGCCCTACCAGCTCCAAACACTCATGGCAGTGACTGGTGGTTGATCTGTTGGCCCCCCCATTCACTGATATCCTCAAATTGTCTTGTGTTTCAGCCCTATCTTCCCATGGAGACTGTAAGTTCTTGGGGGCAAGGACTCACCTGGTACTTCTTTTGAAACCTCTGCAGTGTCAAGCACAGTGTTGGGCTTCTAAATGTCTCACATGAATGAATGAATGAATGAATGAATGAATGAATGAATGAATGAATGCTTTGCCCATGGTGAGTTGTGCTAAATACAGAAGCAAAGAAAAGATTTTGAGAGGAAGGGAGCATAGAAGTGATGGGAATGAGGAAAGAAGGAGAGAAAGTGGGTAGAGAACTGAGAGAGAAAGACACGGTACTTCCAAAGCCAGCCTTACTGTCCTTACTCTTATAGATGAGGGAGCTGAGGCTGAGTGATAAAGGAGATAAGGCTTCTCCGTGTAGGTGAGCAGCACCTGCTCAGACCAACTAGCCTCTTTGGCAGAGAAAAACATGTTCTCTGGGCCAAAAGCCATTCTGCCCAAAGGGAGACAAGACCATAAGCCAATTCAGTGTGAAAAAGTGTGGCTAAAAATTTTTGATAAGTTTTTTTAGATAATTTTATAAAACATGTAAGTAATATTTTTAAAGCTATGGGTTATCCTGTAAACTGATCTGGTCCCTTTCCATTCTTTCTTAGCATTCTTTTTAATAGAACAAAATAAATGCCTAGAACCCATTACCAGCAAGAACTAAAGTCATTGGCAAGTATCCTAATAACTTTCCCTACAGGACCTTCGCACTCTGCTCAGTTGGGGCCTGCACTGTCCCCAGAACATGCCACGAATATACTTGGCCATGCTCTCAAATTCCCTTTGCCTTCCTTCCTCCCTCTTCTGCCCATCCATCAAGGTTTCCATCAGTACTAAATATCCCCTCAGCCTTTCCTGGTTGTCCCAGCTCTTAGAGATCTGTGCCCCTCTTGGGGACCTGACAGCCTGCCCACACCCACACCTGCCATCCCTGGTGCCCTGGGGTGGTACTTGGGTGGTCTCCTAACCTGGACCGTTGGCCCCTTGGGAACTGTGCCTGTTCTCCACTGTTTGGTCAATTGTCCTCCAAGCCTGCTTCTCCGTAATGAGCCCCTGCATCAGCACTGGGTTTTCCATGCACCAGGTGCTCAGTGCCTGTCTGTTGACTGAAGTCTGCCACTTGCTGTGTCAACGTCCAGTCCACAAGAGTGTTGAATTCTGGTGTGCACACTGGTTCATGATTTACACTGTAACTCAGTATGTGAAGTTGAGAGTAGGAGGGAGCTCCTTAACCAACACACTTTAAACAATTTAATAAAAAGCTAGACAAAGCTACATAAATAAATTGCCCATGACACACGGGCCTGTTTGAGTGCAGAAGATGAGGCTGTGAATGTTCTCTGCAAACTGTAGAGTGTGTGTAGAAAGGGAATGCACTGCACAGTGCAAGGAGTTGACATGTGATTGTCAGGTCACAACCCTGTGCAGTCTGTCTGTCCGCTCCAACATGGTAGCCAGACAGCTCAAGCTGTAGCCAGAACAGGAAGCTCAGTCCCATCCCTGGCTGTTTCCACGTAGCAACAAACAGGAGCGGCGCGCTCTGCATGCCTGGCTGCCCACCTCTCATCTCCTGCGCCTCAGGCATGAGCCAGGAATTGCAGACCACAGGCCCCAGAGCAGGAGTGCGAGGCACAGAGAGCAGCAGGGCAGGAGGAGAGCGAGACCATGTGGAAGGGCCCCCTGCGGCAAAGCCAAGTGGGTCCTCTGAGTCCAAGGCCTTCGGTTCACTGTCCAGCTCCAAGGGTGCTGCTGGCCAACAGAGCGGGCTCCACCAGAGTCCTGCCATGTAACCAAGCTAAAACCTTGGGCCCACCTGGGGGAATTCCCATTCTCCACACTCAGCTCAGGGGCTCTTCATTTAACACTAATGCTCACAGCTAGCACTTCCCGGGTGCTGTACATACATTGAGCCTCCTGCAGCCCCATTTCACAGATGAACCAGCTGATACTAAAGAGGTCACATGACATGACTAGACACCCACTGCCAAACACAGAGCTAAGTTCAATACGGGGTGCTCCAACCTGCCCGTGTGCATCTTCCCCTAAGGTCTGAGATGTGTTTGCTGCACCCCTGGTTGAGCACCAAATTCCTGGTGACATCACTCAAGGCCATGTCTTTCCCATGGAGGTCTTGGGCTCAAGGTAGAACCCAGATGCAGAAAAGAAGAGACAGACTCAGAGACAGACACGGAGAGAGGGTGAGAACCTGTGTGCTGGGGAGAGCACCAGAGTTAGAGTCGGAAAGGCTAAGCAATGGCCTTCTCTCTCACCACTGTGTGGCCTGGGGCAAGTCACTGCCCTCTCTGGGCCTGTGTTCTCAACTAAAGAATGAGCCCGGCCGGGCATGGCTCAGCGGTTGAGAGTCGACCTAGGATCCAGGCGATCGGGGTTCGATTCCCGGTCAGGGCACATGCCCAGGTTGCAGGCTCAATCAATGACTTTATCATCATTGATGTTTCTATCTCTCTCTCTCCCTCTCCTTTCCTCTCTCTGAAATCAATAAAGATATATTAAAAACAAACAGACTGGGGGATGTGGTGCTACTGTCTCTAGTGGTTGGAGGCCAGGGATACTGCTAAACATCCTTCAGGACNAAAATATTAAAAAAAAAAAAAAAAAAAAGAATGAGGCAGGAGACAAAGTAAGCATAAGGGCCTCAGGCTTCTCACAGGCCATGCTCCTCTGATCAGAGGGATGCAGGGCTTGGCATGGTTAAGCTCAATGCCCAGTTGGGCAGGGCTCAAACAACAGAATCTGGGCACTCTGAACTCTGCCCCATTGTGAGCTTCCCTCCCCCTGCTCCATGTCCAACCCCCCCACCTCCACTTCAATATCCCCACCACCTTTCACTTCAGCTCTGTAGCCAGTGTGGCAGACATTAATTCACCTCCCACCTTCACACCCCAGGTCACTCCAGCTCCCCTCCCTGAGGTGGTTGGCCCAGGCTGGCAGCCTAGAGTTTGCCTCTCTCTGGTTGGTCCTAGAACCCCCTCTCCTGATCTGTCCCCAGTGTCAGGTCTGAGGGTAGGTGAGCAGGGTAAAGGGAGTTGAAAAGGGAGAAGCTAAAGGGAAGGGAGAGATAACCACCAGATTCAGGTAGGGCTACTAAAGAAGATTCGCCTGGGAGCCTTTTCTTCTTCTGTGGTCAACTCATGTGGGTACCCATAGGCAGGGCCCACAAGCCAGTGGATTATGGCCAGCGCCCACCCTGATTGGGTCAGTATCTGATCTCACAGACTGGGGCCTGAGTTATCGGTGTTATTGAATAATTTTATTACCCCATCACTTCTTATCACTCAAAGCCAGAGAAGACAGACCTGAAACCAAAACCCACATTAGTGCAACCCCTGATCAAACACCCCCACTAACTAACCAGGTGAAAATAAACAGAGCCGAGTTTGCTATGCCAAGAGAACACACTTTATTGAGTTAACTTCCAGGGAAACCTAGTTTTGCATGCATAGAAGCAGTGAAGTCCAGAAGCACAATATAAGAAGTATTTTGGTAGAAAAACCTGCTGAGCGGGGAGCTCCTAGAGGGAAGGGGGGTCATTTGGAGACGGGAGCCACAGGGGTGTCCCCCTTCCTGTGGGCCAGGCCTGCCCTGGTGGGCTGGGTGGCTGGTTACAGGGCAGGACTATATGTGCTCCCTGGAGGAAAGGACTTTCCCATCTCTGATCTCCTCGGCGATGGTGCGAATCTAGGTGCAGACATGGGAAGCCGGGGAGCAGGACACGCTGGAGCTGTAGGGAATTCTAACGGCATTCTGTGGCACAAGGGTGGGCAGGCAGCCTGGGAAAATGAAATCCTATCAGATCGTGTGTGGCATTGGGGCATGGCACTGACATCATGTTAAACAGATTTAGGGGATCAAGTGAGACAGGTGGGTGACAACAACCAACGGCCTCAGACAGTGAGAGGGCTGCAGGGACAATGGTTGGACCCCTGTGAATCACCAAAGTCCAGGACAGGAAGGAATCTCTATTAAGAGGCTTTGGATCAGTCCCCCTTCATCTGTGTGCTAGCCACTTCTGGGCTGCTACTGCCAGTGAGGCACTAAAGGTGGGTGGGTCTAGGTGCACCCTCTCCCCAAGCCTGACTCCCCAGGGCCCATCCATGGCCACTCACTTGCAGTCTTCTCCCTCCAGGAGGCAGCGGTAGGTGGCGATCTCCGACTCCAGCCGGGCCTTGACGTCCAGGAGGACCTGGTACTCCTGGTTCTGCCGCTCCAGGTCGCAGCGGATCTCGGCCAGCTGGGACTCCACGTTGCTGATCAGGCACTGCATCTGGGCCAGCTGGGAGCTGTAGCGGGCCTCGGTCTCCGCCAGGGTACATTCCAGGGAGTTCCGCTGCAGTGGGAAAGAAGAGCTGCCAACCAGAGGGAATCCCACCCAGACACCCACAGCCCTGGGATTCTGCGTGCCACTGTGATCACGCCCCATGATCATCTAAGTGCTGAGGCTGGAGGGTCAGGGAGCCCACTTGCCACAAGCAGTGGCCAGCCACTCGGGCAGGGGGCACTCACCATACTGTGCTGGGCCTGCAGCTCAATCTCCAGGGCGTTGACAGTGCGTCTCAGCTCAATGATCTCCGTCTGGCAGCACTGAAGCTGCTCTGAGCTGGACACCACCTGCTGGTTCAGCTCCTCAGTCTGAGAAACATGAGAGGGCCCAACGCGTGGTCAGACCAAGGGAAGCTGCTGTCAAGGGTAACCCCACCCCAGGAGCTGGTTGCCCTGGCTGCCCCAGCCCCACCTGCGTGTTGAACCAGGCCTCCACGTCTCTGCGGTTACTCTCCACCAGGGCTTCATACTGGCATCTCATATCATCCAGGATCTTGTTGAGATCCACTGGGGGGGCGGCATCTACTTCCACATTCAGTCGGTCCCCGAGTTGGCAACGGAGTGCGTTGACTTCCTGCAGGGAGCAGACAAGGTGGCATAAGATGATGAGAAGGATGCTGGATGGGGGGATCGACTGAGCTGCATTCAGACCTTCCTCACTTGGTCGCCAGCTATGTGGCATTAAACAGGATACTGGACCTCTCCAAGCCTCCACCTCCTCAAGGACTTGTGCCTACCTCCTCAGGGGGTTCAGGAGAGTGAAGTGAGATGATGCAAGGACCAGGCAAATAGAATCATTAGCAGGCACTACAGTCCAAATGGAGATTTAGTGTCATGGGCAGGAGTGTGGGATCTGTGTGGCCTTAGGCAAGCGATTTAACCTCTCTGTACCTCGGTTTTCTCATCTGTAGAATGGAGCTTGTAATAGTGTATCCTCCTGGGATTGTTATGAGGATGAAACGAAATGAAAATGAAACACAAAGTGCTTTGCACAGTTCCTGGCACACTAAGTCATAAATAAAGGTCAGCTGGAGTTACCATGGAGGTGGTTGTCACAATTGTTAAGCCCAAGACTTCCCACTGGATGGGAAATATTGGGAAGTCATGTGGCACCAGCCTCACCTCCTCGTGGTTCTTCTTGAGGCAGAGCAGCTCCTCCCTCAGAGACTCCAGCTGGGCCTCCAGGTCGGCCTTGCACAGGGTCAGCTCGTCCAAGATCCTGCGTAGGCCATTCATGTCCGACTCCACCAGCTGCCGCAGGCCCAGCTCCGTCTCGTACCTGCAACACACAGAACCCTGCAAGTCTGCAGCAAAGGAGCCACGCACAGGGAAGGCCCCCTGCCCTGCTATCCAGCTGCAGTAGCTGATTTGGGGTCAGCAGCACGTGGTCCTTTCCCTTGACCCAGAAGGGATCCAGAGCCAATGCTGCAGGCCTCACTCCCACCTCACTGGCTCCCAAGGGCAGGGGATGGAGGCAAAGGAGCAGCTCAGAGACCTCCAGGATCAGGCCTACTCACTTGGTCCGGAAGTCGTCAGCAGCCAGCTTGGCGTTGTCAATTTGCAGGAGCAGCCTGGTATTCTCAGCCTTGGTCAGCAGGATCTGGGGAACAAGGGGCATCCCATGAGCTGGAGAAGGCCAGCAGGGTGGGGGCAGGTGGGAAGGGATAGCACCTTCAGCATCCCCAGCCCTGAGCCCAGGTATAAACGGAGTGTCAGTCCTAGGAGGGATGTCAGTGGCCATCAGTCCTGACATCTGTAACCCCCACAGGGGCACAGTGGGCAACACTAGGGTGAATGGAGATAACCAGGCTGAGCTGGAGTCCAGTTCTGTATCCAACACTGACAGGCTTTGTGATCTTGGGCCAATTGCTGAACCTCCTTAATTTCAACTGCCACATCTGTTCATAGGATCCAGTAATGCCCATCTCTCCAAGTGAGGAATAAATAAGCCATGGAAAGGAGCATGTTAGGCACAGTGCCTGCGCCCAGTAGGGGCTTGGTGCATATTTTTGCCCTTTCTACAGCCAAGACAGCGAGGGAAGGGCAGGAATGGCTGGCAACTGGTTACAAGCAGCAGAGAGGTCTGGGCCCCAGGAAATCAAGGCCCCAAAGAGAAAAGCTTGCCTTGATAGGAGAATTCCCTAAGAGCCATAGTCCCATCTATAGTCCCTTGGTATGAGACAGACCCCCTCCAGGAGCGGGGCTGCCAGGCTAGAGAGGGGCCAGGTCCCCATTACCTTCTGCTGGAGATCCTCGATGGTCTTGAAGTAGGACTGGTAGTCCGGGCAGATGTACGGGATCTGACACTCGCACCACTCTCGGATCTTGGTCTCCAGCTCCGCATTCTCCCGCTCCAGCTGCCGCACCTTCTCCAGGTAGTTGGCCAGGCGGTCATTCAGGAACTGCATAGTCTCCTTCTCGCTGCCATTGAAGGAGCCCTCGCAGAACCAGCCCCCACTGCCAGCAAAGCCAGAGGAGTGGCACCCAGAGGACAGGTAGGAGCCAGGCAAGCAGCTCCCAAGGCCAGAGAGGCCCATCCTGCAGGAGGAGGCAGAGCCCACAGCACCAGCAAGACTGGGGACCCTGCAGGAGCCCACAGAGCGAACAGGGGACACCCGACACATGCCACTTGTTGTGCCACAGAGGCCCTTGATGGACCCAGAAGAGAAGATCGAGGAACAGATCTGCGTGGCCATGATGCTGGAAAAGAAAGATCCCGCTTAGCAAGGAGCTGGGTTCTGGTTCTCAAGGCCTCTCTGGGGCGTTTATATACCCTCTTCGTGGGGTGTTGGTGTGTTACTCTTGGGAAAGCCTATTCCTATTCCAGAAAGCTAATCTCATTAAAACGTGATTTTTGCCACCCATCCAGAATTCCCTGCCTTGTAAAAAAAAAAAAATTGTTCAATTTGGTTGGCTAAGTCAGGACTCTCAGCTGTTGTCACTTTGGAGCAGAATATGAATTTTATTGCCTCTTCAAAGACTTTGCACCAGATCCCATAAATCGGGAGTGGCCTCACGAATGACATTTGGTTCCTGCCCTGTCTGTGTGCCTTCCCCTGAGGAGCCCAATCTGTCCATTTGTCACCATCATCTACTACCCCACCCCTCATAGCTGCTGACCTGGGCCTGGGCCACTGGGCTGCTGAAAAAGAAGCAAAGAAAAGTAAAATTCATGGAGCATCTATTATGTGCCAGGCTACAGTTATTTCATCTACACCTGACAACAGTCCTGGGAAATGGCCAATATTGTCTCCATTTTACCAATGTGGAAACTGAGGCTCAGTATGGTTAGAAAATAAATAAAGGCCTGCTTGAGGTAAACAGACAGTGAATAAAGAACCTAGGTCTGAAACCAGGGTTCTCAGGCCCTAAATCCCACACCCTTGTTCCCCACACAACCAAGGTCAAGTGCCACTACCCAGAATTTAGGGACGGGGGACCTAGGTTCAAATCCCGGCTCTGCTGATAATCTGCTGAGCATGTCACCCCCTCTCTGGCCTCCTCGGTGTCTCCATTATGACAGGAGAGATCACCAGCCTACCCTGCATCAAAAGTCAGAAGTAAAAGTGTTTTGAAAACCATCAGGAGCTGTAGAGATGTTGGTTAGGCTAAGAGAACAGTCTTTGGTGGTTGTGTATGGCTGGGGCCAGCAAAGGATCATGGGAGTGAGACTACAAATGGGGCTGCTTTGGAGGGCAGTTCCCTTTGTGGCCCCCAGTTCTCTAAACTGAGGAGAGTAGAATCAAGACCCCAAGATAACCTGCTCTGACTCCCCAGTCCCTGAACTGGGCACAAAGATGCTCAACGCAGACTCTCTGGACAGGGAAGGAACAAGAGAAACAAAATCCTGCCAGGTCAGTGAGCAGGCCCGGAGGGGAACCCGAGAACTCAGGAGCAAAGGTGAACGCGGCCTCTGCCTCGCCACGCGGGCTATCCCGAGGCGTGGGCCATCTGCTCACTCCTCTCCCACACAGACGGGCTTCGCAAGGCTGGCATTTACGGAGCATTTATGTGCTTCTGGAGTTGTAATTTACCAGCCTCTTAAAACGCTTTATAAGCTTCTCTCTGAAATTACTCAGGTGGGTTGGCTGTGGTGCACAGCACCTCGCCCAGTGCAGTGGGCACCCTCACAGGATGCCCCAGAGCAGCCCGGTGGGCTCCTGCTGGAGGTGAGAGCGGGGCAGCAGCCTCCAGAGCCCCGGCCGCCTCAGCCCCGCTTCCTCACAGCTGCCCTCCTCCCTGAGCTGCCGGGGGGCCTAGGACCGGGCCAGCTCAGGGTTTCTCTACCTCGGTGCTGCTGGTGTTACAGACTACATAGTTCTCTGTCGTGGGGGCTTCTCGTGCATTGTAAAATGTTGGCAGCATCCTTGGACTCTATGACCAGGCGCTAGTAACAGTCCCCTCCCCCAGATGCGACAACCAAAGATGTCACTAGACATTGCCAAATATCCCCTAGGAGGCAAAATTGCCCCCAGTTGAGATCCATTGGACTATCTGTACAGGGACTGGGGCTCTGCCCAGGCCTCCGATAAACACCCCCTCTGCTTTCTAGGACAACTAGTGCGGAGTCTGGAGGTCACTGTGGGGCCCTCTCAGGCAAGTCCTCAATGCACCCATGCCTCAAATTACCTCATTTGTGACACGGCGTGCTTGTTGTGCAGGCAGCTCTTACCAATCCTCTGGCACGGCGGCTCTTCTCTGTTTGGAGTCTCCGGCTGAAGTTGATCTCCTAATTTTTTTTTTTAATCCTTCCACTGCGAAATCCATACTTGAAGCTAACTGATTCTAGGTTTCTCTCAGGACCACAGTAAGTAGGGTCTGCGGCTCTGGCTGTTCCCACTCTCAGCCTGTGATCAGGAGAGCCACTGTGGGCCAGAGTCCATGCAGGGGTCTCCAGGGCTGGGGAGAGTCACTTACCTCTCCAGGAGCAGGTGACAAGCAGGCCAGAGAAGGTCTTTCAGTCGCCCTCAGTCCCCTGCCTTCCCCCATGCTGTAGACTTCAAGGCCACCTCTTGGAGGCAAGAGTGGAGGGAGCCGCTTGGGAAGAATTCCTCTTTCTCTCCTACCCAGCAGCCTGGACCACAGTGGAATGGGGAGGCCCAAGTGGGACAGACGCTCTGCCTGCATCAGAGGAGAGAACCCGGACTCGCAGAGCTGCTCGTCTCCCAGGATAGCACCAGGTGGCCGCCCACCCTGGAGAAAACCCGCCTGTTCAATGTTTAGTAAATCAGGGCTGCCTATTTATGAGGTTTTATATCAAAATAAGGACTTATTCTGAGACCATTCCTTCTAACATTATTCAGAAATACACTGGGCTGAGGGTCAGGAAACCCGGCCTCCAGGCGGAGCTCTGCCCAAGCTCCCTGTGTGAGCCCCATCCACTCTGGGCCCCAGAGTCCTGATCTGAACAGGAAGGGCCTGGACAGGTGCACTTCAGGCCATTACGTCTCAGACATTATAGGACTTGAGGCCCAAGTGTTTCCTGTGGAGACAGCCAGGAGTCACCTGGATGTGTCTGTGACTCATTCACCATTGCCCACGGTTCCTGTACCATCTCAGTCGCTGACCTAGAAAATAAAGAGGAAACACGAAGGTTCTTTCCCATGACACGATGGAGTCTTCTTTTCTTTTGTAAACCACCATGGACCTCAGATCTCCCTTGGCCTCCAGGCCTGCACATCAGGCAAAAGCAATGGCCTGGGCTTCCTCCTGGCTGTCCTCCTTAGGCAGAGGTGACATTAACCACCTCCCAAGGCTGTTCCCCAAAAGGCCCCATTTGAAGGTGCAGTGTCATCAGGACATGGAGCAGGCATCCCAGTGCATCCCGGAACAGCCTGTCACGGTGTGCCCAAGGGGGAAATGGGTTCTCTGAGCAGGGTCCCTCTTTCCCTGCTTCTCTGGGCTGTGGTCAGAGCGCGCCAGCCACCACCACACCATAGTGCCCCAGAGGCATTGGAGGAAGCAGACAGTGGACCATGGAGCAGCCAAGACCCCTAGAACTGGGCACCAAGGGGACTAAGATCATTCAAGAAGTCCGTGGCTGCCTCTCTCAGTGTCCTGCTGGCTTAGGCTTCATCTTTCTGGTTGTCTCCTGCCACCTGTTCCACCTTTGATGCCCACACATACAGATCCTGCAGAATTTCCCACCATAACAGGCATCTAAGAAATGCTGATCCCGTGTCTTAACCCCTTTATTTTTTTTTTAATTAATTTTTTATTGATTTGAGAGAGAGAGAAAGGGGGAGACAGAGAGAGAAAGAGAGAAATGTTGACTTGCTGTTCTACTCATTCATGCATTCATTGGTTGACTCTTGTATGTGCCCTGATCCAGGATCGAACCCCCAACCTTGGCATATGGAGACGATGCTCTAACCAACCAAGCTACCCAGCCAGGACCTGTGTCTTAACCCCTCTAGAACCTTCCCAGCAGTCACCTAGAAATGGGGAGACCCACACTGACCTCTTTCCCTCACCTACACACAACTGCTTTTTCTTTGTAACAAAGAATTTGTACAAGTGACAATGCACCTGTGATTCCCGGCCCCTACCAGACAAGCATGGTTACTATATGTTCTGTGTCAAATAACCACATCAAAAGCTTGTGCCAAAGCTACCACTAGCTGGTGTTAGGTTCTAGTACAGGCATGTATTGACAGGTACACAAAGTTGAAGGAAGCATTATGGGAGGGGAAAAGACTTCAATGAGGACATTTTAAGCCACCAATTTACTTTGTCCAGAGATCTGGAAAAAGTTCTCTCTTACTTAGTTTCGACGGCAGAAAACTCAGGGCTATTTACATACCTGCTGAGGATAGGGTTCCCAGATTTAGCAAACGAAAATCCAGGCAATGTTTGGGACATACTTATACTAAAAAGTTATTCATTGTTTACCTGCAATTCCAATTTCACTAGGCATCCTGCATTTTATTTGGCAATCCTAAGTAAGGAAGCATCATCAGCTCAGAGCCTTGGCCCAAAAAGGCACAGCTGTTCCTCCCCTCCTATCACCATGACTGGCTGGTCTTGGGGACATGCATATCTGGCTTCCCATAGAAAATTGTGCCTTTCTCTTATCTGTACCCTATTCTCAGTGGCTGCCCTTTTTTGCCATCACAGACCCAGTGAGCAGGACTCAGATGTACAGTGCTGTGTTGTCCTCACTCTTGTCCTGGCCACCTCAGTGACATTCCACCCTGATGGCAGCTGCCTTGAGCAGAGTGACTCAGAGCTTCCTAGGCAAGATTAGGCAAGTCCTTCTTTGCTCCATTTCTTACTCCCCCAGCCTATCCTCCAAACCTCTGCCTGTCCCTGCTGTCCCCAGGCCTCACCAAGCTCAGGACACTCTGGACACACACTAGGTGGCCAAGGAGGTCTTTCCACAGCTCCCTCTACAGAGCACAGAGCCCCTGCTCAGGGGCCTCAGGAGAGGCCTCGGCCCTGAACAATGTTTTCTCCCAAGGCTCTAGGATCTGCAGGGCTCCCAGACACCCAGCTTCCCACATGCTGCTCTGTGCATGGTCCTGAGTTCCCACAGGGCCTTGGCCATACCCTGATTAGGCCTCAAAACTCCCCCTTTGCCAGGCCAGAATTGCCCTGAAACTCTCATCTCCCCCAAAATACAAAGGTATTTTTCTCTCCCCCAGGGTATGGCTTTGGCAAGTGCCCAGGGCTTCAGGATTCTCCTCCATACTGCTCTTGCCGTGGGGGAGGCCTAGAGAGCCACCCTGACCCCAATCTTAAGTCGTACCTCTCTGGTTTTCTCACGCCAAGCTCTGCCTTCTCACCCACGGGGAGCTCTTCCTGCACAGCTGTGCTAGCTGACAGCTCCCATCTGGAAGAGTCCAGGGCCTCCTGCTCAGATCCATTCAGTCCCTAACTCCCCCCACCCAGCTTTTATGGAGAATTCCAGAGCTGTCACTGCTCTCCCTGATGTGCTTAGAGGACCTGTGGTTTGTGGGAGACGCATGGCCAGGCCCACGGGGAGAAAGAAGCTGGTACCGCGTCCCCTTGATTCAGATACCACTTAACTGAACCACAAAGCAAATCTCTCCATTTGATTGGGTCCCATCATCTGCATTTACAGGGGCTGGTGTGTGGTAGCTCTCACAGCATGTCTGCAAACCAGACTGTGGGCTCCAGGCTGTAATTAGCCATGCTTTATACTGTGGATTCCACTTTCAACCTGGCCTGAGATCCTTGGATGAAAGAAGCCACACAGTTATTATGGCTGTCTATAAAAATGGGCCAGAAGAGTGAACACCAACTCTTGGCCAACTCCCCCAAATCTCCACCCCCGAGAGCAGCACCCACCTACCCACCTGATTCCTCCCAAACTCTGTGGCTCCCAAAGGAGCTGCTCAAAGGGAAGCAATCCACATACCCTGCCCCCCTCCGGCCACCAAAAGACTCAGGAACATCATCCACCAGGGAGCAAGTCCCTAGTAGCTCCAGAGATGCACTAACCCAGGTGGCGGGGGGAGGGGGGGTGACAAAGGCCCAGTGGGGAGGTTGGAGGAGTGTTATCGACCGTAGTCCCCCTGTGACATCTCTTTCTTCTCTTTCCCAGGCTTCCCTTGGGTGTCGGGAGAGGGGGGAGGGGGACAGCAAGATTCCTCTTGCCTGGCAAACCTGGACACCTTTATCTCATACTCTGTCTTCTGTGGACCCTCAAGACTATCACCCAAAACAGAGGGACAACAGGGACCCAAGAGGGTCCCTGGGCTGCAGCTCTCTCCTCAGCCATGTCCTGCTAGCCCCAGTGCCCAGCTGCCCAACATGAGGCCATGTTGGGACCAGGCCAGGGTAGACCAGGTCTAGAGCCCTATCCTTTCACTCTGTGTCCCAGCGGGTGGCCTTAGAGGCACTGACTTGCTTTCTGGAGTGAGCCTGCCCCCTGCAGGACCCAGGCAGGACAAGCAACCCCATGGGGAGTGCAGAAGTGCCCTGGCCTGTCCAGCCAGGAGGAGCCTCAGGGAGAGGGAGGAGCCTTTTGCTGAGGGTGAGAAGGAGGGTGACAGAGCAGTCAGGAGTCACAGGCAGCACAGCAATTAGCCACCTCTGTGCAGCACCTGCCGGATGGAGGTGCTTCACTCTGGAGCTCCAAGGCACTGGGAATGAGGCCAGGAGAATGCTCTGACTGCCCCCACATGTCTTCAGTTTGACCCAGTTGTCCGTGTTTGCAGGGTGCTGTCATCCATGAGCCCCCTGTGGCCCCTGTGTTTGTCATCATTGCACCTGTGTGCTGTTGGCATACCCAGGTGCCTATGTCCTTCCCCACTGGGAGCTCCCTTGGCTGAGCTTGTCAGGGTGACCTGCTCACCCATAGCCCCAAACCAGGGTCTTGGCAGCTGCCACCCACAGAAACCAAGCCAGAGTCAAAACTACGTTTGCAAAAAGACAGGAAATTTTATTGGATTATCTTTTCTTTTTAGCAGAGAAGCTGAGAATCAGAGCAACCAGGTCAGGAAGAAAAGGAAGCTGACCCAGAGAGAAGAGCAAGGAGCCAAGGGCCCACCCTAGGGAACGTGGGGGCTGGGGCCTCGGAGCCGAGTGACAGCTTCCCGAAGCCCCTCCCTCTCTCCTGCAGGAACCGTCAGCTCTCTCCTCCTCTGGATGCTGAAGACAGAGGGAGGGGATGCCAGGCAGACTTAAGGCCTACGGGCGTCAGAAGTACGGCGATTGGACGCTGGGCCAGTGGTAGTGGGGCTGCTGGTGCTGGTGGTTCCTGGGAAACAAGGAGACAGGAGATGCTCAGGTCGGAGAAGACTCGCCTTAGGCCAGGTTAGGAGGACCCCCAACCCTCCCCATTGGCAAGGTGAGGGGATAGTTAATGGGGACTCTGTATGATTGTCCCCAAAGCTGGCTCCCTCCAAGACAGCCCAGTGGCTCTGTGGGGCAGAGCCATCTATGTTGAAGGGAAAACTGATGAGCAAATGTCCACGTTCGCCTCAGCCCCTTCCCTCCCTACACAGGGAGCCCAGCTGCCTCCCTCCCCACCCCCTGGGGCAGAGAACAGGAGCCCCTCCCGCCAGGATGTCCTTACCTCCTGAGGAGGGGAAGCCAGTCATCCTAGAAGAGAGGAGAGAGGCAGCCGTGAGCAGAAAGACAACTGGGGCCAGCTGCGTACCTATCCTCAGGTGGGACAACTCACACCATTGTTTGGAGCCCCTGAGTTGGGCTATTTTATCTAATTGTGCCCTCAGCCCAGGGGCAGCAGGTGCCTGCCAGGTCTGTCTGTCTGTCTCAGGTCTCCAGAGAAGATATTATTGGCCCCTAAATGCAGGGTATTTGCTGGAAGTTTTATGCCCCCTCTGGTTCACTCAGTCCCACCCCCACCCCACCCTGAGCCCACAAGGATGGCCTGGTCTCTGCAAATGGTCTGAAGGCAGTTAAATCACCATTGTAATAGCTTTGTTGGGCATATTTTTCCAATATGAGATGGTCTCTCCATGGTCCCTATTCCTGCCAATCCAATTCAGAGGCCTGAATTACAACGTCCAAAGGTATTTATTCTGCAGCCTGCTGAGGAAACGCCCCCACAGTCTAATTCAAGAGGATAGAGGAGCTCTGATCCTGGGACGTCGTCCAGGCTGTTTAAGCTCAGTCAGGTCCCCTCCTGTCCAGGACATGAGGGCCTGGTCCCTAAGACACCGCCTGCCCTGACACCTGAGGGCCTGCTGTCACTTTCCCAAGGGAGAGGCTGGCGAGGACCTACTTGGCGTCCTGGCCCTCAAGCAGGCTGCGGTAGGTGGCGATCTCCTGCTCCAGCCGCGTCTTGATGTCCATGAGCTGCCCGTACTCCAGGTTCTGCCGCTCGGTGTCAGCGCGCACCTCGCTCAGCTGGGCCTCCATGCTGCTGATCAGGTCCTGGATCTGCACCAGCTGCGTGGCGTAGCGGCACTCCGTCTCTGCCACCGTGCTCTCCAGCCCGGCTTTCTGGTGAGGCAACGGAGAAGTCATGAGGGGAGCCAGGCCCAGGGGAGGCCTGGAGGCGGTGGCCACTGGGCAGGGGACAGCAGGCATACCATGCCAAGCTGGGACTGCAGCTCGATCTCCAGGCCCTGGAGAGTCTGCCTGAGCTCTGTGATCTCTGTCTTGCTGGTCTGAATCATGGCAGTGTTGGAAGACACCTCCTTGTTCAGCTCTGCGCTCTGAAATCCAAGCAGGAAGAAGGTCATGGGGAAGCCCAGATGGAAAGCTTGGCACCCCCTGGCCCCATGGGGTGAGAGGGCCGGGCACCTTGCTGTTGAACCAGGCCTCGGCATCTCGGCGGTTCTTCTCGGCCATGGCCTCGTACTGCTCCCTCATCTCCACCAGCACGCGGGTCAGGTCAATGCCCGGGGTGGCGTCCATCTCCACATTGACCTGGCCTACCACCTGGCTGCTGAACTCCTTCATCTCCTGTGGGGATGGGAAAGGAAGAGGTGTGAAGCTCCTCATCTTTCCTCTCCTTGGCTCTGGATGCTGCTGGAATGTTCTGGAAAGCCCTTCCAGGTCCCGCAATGGAGGCCTGAGTCTGGCCACAGCATTGGGCTCCCCCTTCTCACTGGAAGTGCTGCAGCCATGGCAGGTCCGTGCCCCGTCTCACCTCCTCGTGGTTCTTCTTCATGTAGGCCAGCTCCTCGTTCAGGCTCTCGATCTGCATCTCCAGGTCGGTCTTGGCCAGGGTCAGCTCGTCCAGCACCCGGCGCAGGCCGTTGATGTCGGCCTCCACGCTCTGGCGCAGGGTCAGCTCATTTTCATACCTAAAGGATTTTTTTAATTTAAAAAGCAACACATAAGTGATACTAGGCACTCCCCCAGCCTCTGCACTGGACCCTGCTACTTCTCTAAGACATTCGCTCCTGGCAGGCTCCAATTTCATTGTTTAGAGGAGCATTTTCTAAAACAAGAGACCACTAGGAGGGGTGAGTGAGAAAAACAAACTCACTTGAGCCTGAAGTCATCCGCAGCCAGCCTGGAATTGTCAATCTCCAGGATGACCCGGTTGTTGTCAATGGTGGCCGCCAGGATCTGCAAAACACAGAAAGTAACCACTGGAGGTTCCAGGAGCTTGGGGAGGTGGGCTGAGAAAACATGGGCAGGACTAGCTGTCATCAGACTTTTCCATGTGAGTTTGGCCTCAGTTCCTTTTCTATAAAGGGCCGGCCGGGTCCCTTCAGTTTATTAGCATTTTGTGTCCTGCTTTCTGGTCACGATGGGGAAAATCAGGAGGTGCACTTCAGGGGAACCACCCCCTCCAAAAATATCTTTGGATGATCAGGACTAGCAACCTCTCTAGGCTCTGTCTTGAGAACCCTGTCCTCTGGGTCAGGAGGGAGTCAACCTGGCTGCACGCAGTTCATAACTGCACCGGAGCTGGCCTGCCAGCTGAGCAATGGGGAAATCTAACAGATATACCCATCTATTTTAATTCCTTGGCTAAACTTTTCTATTCCAAAGCACTTAAAATCCACCCCACATAGCTGGGACTCAGCCCAGGCAGGTGGATATATGTTCCAACAGGCTGGCACCACAGCGTGATGGACAGGCTTGGCGGGAACTTGGCTTAGCGCTGCCAAGCCTCTGCCTCCATCTCCCCACCTGGTTGCAACCAATTGAGAATAAACTTAAAATGGGGCCCCTACAAAGCAAAGTAGTATTTCCAGATCAGTGAATGAACTTGTATCCCTTTCTCTATTGATTTTAGTCATTCCTAGTGGCTTTTAAAACTGTCATGGTTTCCAAATAGCACAATGGGTTAGGGCTATAGAGACTGAGTCACTAATAACATAACTGTTTGGAAAGCAATAAAAACATTGCCATGAGTACCAACAACAATAAAAGAAGACTAGGAGAAAATGCATTTGGGGAGTTATGGCCTGAGAAAGCCTATCAGGAGTAGAGACGCTTGGTAGTAAAATACTAGAATTTTCCCCTGCAGAAAGGGTGAGAGTTCCATCCACACCGCATCTTCTGGTCCCCTGGGATACTACATTTCCTGGCCTTTTTGACTCTGCCCTGCACAGAGGAACCTCCTTGACATTCAAGGGCTCACCTTTTCCCGGAGCTCCTCGATGGTCTTATAGTAGTTGCTGTAGTCGCGCTCCGGGCTGGCTGGGCTCTGCTTCAGGTGCCAGTCACGGATCTTCACCTCCAGGTCAGCGTTGGCCTCCTCCAGGGCCCTCACCTTGTCCAGGTAGGAGGCCAGGCGGTCGTTGAGGTTCTGCATGGTGATCTTCTCATTGCCAGAGAGGAGGCCACCATCGCCACCACCAAAGTCACCGAAGCCACCACCGAAACCCCCACAGAAGGCACCTCCAACGCCACCTCCGAAGCCACCTCCGAAGCCACCTCCAAAACCACTACCAGCTCCTCCACCGAAGCCGCAGCTCATGCCGCCCCCATAGCCCCCAGCTGATCCCCCAGAGACAAATCGGCTTGAGCAGGTAGAGATGCCACGGCCCCCTCCCAGCTGGAAACCACCTCCATAGCTGGCAGAGGAGTTCTGCAGGCGACAGCTCATGATGAGAGAAGATGGAGAGCGGGTGTGGGCAGAAGCTTGACTTGGCCTGGGACAGGACTGTGGCTCTTCCCGCAGTGGATGCCTTTTATACACCCTCCACAGAGGTGGGACAATGACCCCATCTTTCCTCCTCCCTTCCCCACCCTCTGACTCGTGCCAGCTGGGCGTCTTTGTTTCCCACAAGCCCAGTTACCTCTGCTCTCCAGGGTGGGTTGTGCCTTGGGGGCGGGGGGTGCTGGCTTTTTTTTTCTGTCAACCATCCCTTGACAAAAGGGATGATTCAGAGGGAACGGTGTTCTGCTTGAGACTGCCCTCTGACAACTGAATTTGCTTTCCTCTCCACTTGAGGAACTTGCTCCCAGAGGCTCTCGGCCCCACCCGATATTGTAATGGGGACTGAGCTGCAAAGCCTTCTCAGGGAGCCTCTGTGAAGGGAGAGGTGGCAGCAAGGTGGTCCAGTGCTTTGAGAGGTCACTGCAGCCCCTGGCCTCCCTTCTTTCTATTCCTAAAACTTCTGACCCGAATGTTCTGCATCCTTCTTAGCATTTCATCTACCCCAGTGCTCCCAGCGACTCAAAGGACAGACTTTGCTTGGTCCTGTAGAATCAACTACCTTGAAAGTATTCAGGTTGAGAAGAAAATGACTCCAAGACCATCAGATAAAGACACAGTGACAAGGAACCTTAGGGACCATCCAACAGAGCTGGGGAAATTGAGGCACAGAAAGAGGTAGCGACCCTGTACATTATAATAGATCATAGTCTCAGACCCCTCGCCACATGCAGGCACTGGGCTAAGAACTTAATACTGGTGACTATAAAGTTTAATCTTTGCAGCAGCCCAGTGAGGTGGGTCCTACTCTTACCCCATTTTACACATGAGGAAACTGAGTCTGAAGGGCAGAGTCAGGACTGAAACCCAAGTCTGGTTCTGTCTGACACTAAGGCTCATCTCTTAGGTATAGCTTTCATATAATAAAATGTACAAATCATGTGTCCAGCTTAATGCATTTTTACCTATATATGAAGTTGTAAGCATGTGTTCACCTGTGCAACAACCACCCAGAACATGCCCAGCACTCCATCAAACAACTGGAGCCTTTTCCCAATTACCCACACCCCACAACCTGAAGACAACCACAATCCAACTTCTGTCACCATAGGTCAAGTCAGAGGTCCTCAGCCCCAGGGCTACTTTGCTCCCAGGAGACATTTGACGCGGTCTAGAAACATTTGGTTGTCACAACAGGGGGATGCTCCTGGTGTCTGGACAATAAAGGCAGGGATGATGTTAAACATCCTACTATGCACAGGGCAGCCTCCACGACCAAGAATTCTCTCACCCACAAGGTCAGTGCTGTTGAGGTTGAGAAGCCCTGGATCAGCCTGGCCCGCGTGTTTCATGATTCCTTTATACCAGCTGCCTTAGCTGCACAGCCAGGCCCGGAAAGAAAGCCTCGCAGTACCTGAGCGGGGCCATCTCCAGCCCCCCAACCTCATGACACCTGTCTCAGCTTGTGAGTATTTGACCAAGAGGCCACATTGGAGGATGTGACCTAGGGCCTGAGGCCAGACAAGTGGCTGAAACTCAGCCGCTGCTCAGTAACCCTGCCAGGGGGCCCTCACCACCCAGACTGGAAGAAAAGGGCCTTAAGGTGACCACTCAGAGCTCGGGATAGAAGGAGAAGGTTCCAGGTCTAAGAATGAAGGACGCTGGGCTTGGCTCCCAGCCCCACTCACCAGGGGGGCCAGGGTTGTCGTGAATGACCTCTCCAGAGCAGCCTTCTAGCCCACACCAGCCAGAGGGTCTGGATGGGACTGGGCCAGGGGCTGGGGTAGGCTGGCACAGGTTTGAGGTTATCCTTGGCTGATTCAGCAAACAAGACCAGAAAAGAGGGCTCTGAGTCAGGGCTTTCTTGCCCTTTGTTTTCTGCAGATAGGGAAGCCAGCCTGTGTTTCACCCAGCGGGTGTCAGCACCAGGGAGAGAGCCAGGGAGTACTGCGGGTGCTCCAAGACCTCCTGAACCCAGAGATTCGGGCTGACCCCTGACCTGGCCCAGCCCTTCTGCCCCAAACTGATGGCTCAGCTCTCCCTCTGAGAAGGTTTGATTCAGCCCAAAGAGGAGCTCTTGCTCTCTCAGTATAGGATCAAAACTGACAAAAAGGTGATTAATGGAACCTGCCAGGCCTGGACTGATGATCTTCCCAGGGCTGCTGAGCAGGTTCTGGCCAACGCCTCTCAGAGGAACAATACCACAGATCCTGCAAAGCCCTAGCAGCACAAACATGCCTCCCCTCACGGGGTCAAGGCACGGCCCATCCCCTCCCGTCCCCAGCATGGACTTTCGGTGCCTCAACACAGGAATGTGGCCTGTGACCCATGGTGAACCCCAGGGCCCGCAGGGCTGGGGGACACAGCCGGGCCCTCGTGGGGGAAGCTGGACAGAGGTCCCGGTTCTAATGGGACAGCAGAATGCTGGGCTGAGGCACTGCTCGCTTGTCTTGAGCTTTCTGCTTTGCTTCCTGGTGAAATCACACCAAATTCAATCCCCTCTCCAGTAAGTTTCCAGGGAAGAAGAGGGAAAGCTGTGTTCATGAGCACCCCTGTCAATGAGGCTGCACTTAACACATTGTCATCGAGTCCATACCACAACCAGAGAGGCTGCTTATTGGCCCCATTTTATACATGAGGCAGCTGAGGTCCAGGGAGACCAAGCCACTTGGCCAAGGTCAAGATTTAAACTTGGCATGTGGCTCTCTTGACCCCACTTGGTGTTGTCTTAAAGACTTGCTATGAACTCCATGTATGATCTCTGGGTGTTCCATTCTATGTGTTAAAAGATAATAAAATAACACCAGCTAACATTTCTTGAACATTGTGTTAAACACTCTATATACATGACTTCATTTGGTCCTCAAAACAACTTGACTATTTTTAGCATACCCTTTTTCAGATGAGGAAACTGAGGCCGAGAGTTTAAATACATTGCCCAAACTCAGAGCCAAGATTTAAACCTCTGATTCCAGAATCTATGCCCTTAACCACTGCCTGGTAGATCCCTTTCAGGCCAGTGTTAGTGCCATCCTATCCAAACTGGGGTATCCTCTGTTGACCTCTCCCTTCTCAGGACCCTCGTTGCCCCAGGCCTAGCGGGTGGATGGTCCTGCTTCCCATGGTGGCAAAGCCTATGCAGCTGACAGGTCAGCCTATCTAATGTATGTCACCGGTGTGAGCTTCAAAGCTCGGGGCTTGCGAGGGCGCTCATACCGTACAATGTCAGAGGCAGAATTGTCATAGGAACTTTCCCACTCAACCCTCTCATTTCACATGAGAGGAAACTGAGGCCCAGAATGCCAAGGCCCAGGACAATGGGACACAAGAAGAAATGCCTGGATTTACAGCTTAACCACCAACTTATTGTGGGCCTCCCATTGAAATGACCTCCAAGCTTCCTTCAATGAGTTCCTTGCTGAGTCTCTGGTTCTCAAAGGTTTGTCCAGGGTCACCAGGTTGTTCATCTGCAGAGCCCAGGCTTACACCTTGTCCCCAAGCTCTGGATCCATGGTACCTTGCTTGGATCTTAGATCAGGCTCCTCTCTCCCTGGACCACCAGGGGCCCGGAGCCCAGGACGGCTGACCCACCTCCCAAAGGGTCTCAAGACCCCACAGGGAAGGGGCCTCTCCTGAAAGACAGACCCTTCCCAGACAACAGACCTGGCCCTCTGGGCAACTCTCTGCCCTCGAAAACACCTGCTTAACACAAAAGTACCAAGGAGCCTTCTCCAGACTGGCCTCAATGCCTCAGACCCTTGCATTTCCACAGTACTCAGCTTTCTAAAATCCTTTTTATGCCTCCAGGGCTTCCCAGAAACCCAACAAGGTCAGCGAAGGCTTTGAATTAAGTGGGCCTGAGTTTCAACCCTATGTCTGCCATTGACAAGCTGTGTGACCTTGGGAAAGTTGCTCGACCTTTCGATGCTTCAATGGCTGCTACTGAAAAACAGGCATTAGACAAGTTCACATTTGAGAAACACCTGACATGGGATGCTGGGCAGGTGGAAGGCTGCTCTTACTTCCCTTTACAAATGAGGAAATGCCAGCTCATAGTTGCTAGATGATTGGGCCGAGACTTCTTCTGGGCCTCCATCCTGTGCCAACACATTGCTCTGACTCCCTCTCTGGTCCCTGCAACCAGCACGGCACCCACCACAAGCAGACAAGTGATAGTCTGTGGCATTCCTACCGTATTTCCCCACTCAGCCTTCCATTCCCTGAGGAGAAGATCTTTCTCTGATAAACCTCTGCTTACTGCTCCTGGCACAGGAAAGCTTCCACAAAGGCCCGAGAAGCTGTCCCAGGGGTACACTGTCTGCTGATTTGAGTGAGGGAGATTGGCAAACAGGAGTGGAATCCAATGGGGTCACCCCAGCTCCAAATGTAATGGGAAAAGCTGCCAGCTTCTGATTTCCCCTGTGCCGCCAGCTGCCCACGGAGGGACAGGTGAGCACCAGATGGGCATATACCCAAGATATTAGTGAACATCCAGAGCCATGTCTAACGCAGAAAAGCCAAAGAGAAGCAAGGGCATGCATTAGTTCAAGTGTTTATTTAGCACCCACTCTGAGGACACAGCAGTGCCCAGTGTAGACACAGCCCCACTGTCACGGGTATCCAAGGGTTCCCCTCTGAGTTCCCAGGACACAGATCAGCTCACAGAGACCTTCCAGACCAAAGGACCAGACTCCTTTATTTCAAGACGGGGAGACTGAGACCCAGAGAGGCACAAGGACCAGCCAAATTTCTCAGGGGGAAAGTGGCGGGCATGTCACGTGCTTGCTCTAGGAAGCCCAGCCTTAGCAAAAGACACGCCTACGGCCTTAATCCTTAATCCCAGGGAGGCTCAATGCCTGCTTCTCAGCTTGGCTGGAATCCAAGGCCGGCAGCCAGGTGCAGGCAGAAGGCGGGCCATCCCTGCCGCAGACTATTTAAGGGCTCCGCCTGGCATGAGCTCCCCCTGGGTGTGGGCATCTCACTCCAGGGTCAGGTGGGGGTCAGGACTTGGCAAGTCCGAGGACCTCTCTGACAGCCGCTCCTGGAGTCCCAGGAGAGCAGGCACGGGCGCTCCAGGGAGAAACAGCCTTGTTCTCCCACAGCTCAGGGTCCAGCCCTGAGAGAGGGCGGTGGGGTGAAGGCCACGCCCCACATCGCCTCTCTGCACCTTTGCAGAGGTTATTATTCTTGCAAACTAAAAGCTGAGAAAACCCTTTGCCGGCTGTTTAGAAGGCCCAAGACTTTTCCACAGAGGCCTGGAGGTGGGTGAGAAGGAGCAGCAGCCAGGCCATTGGATCTGAGAGTCTAAGGAAGGAGTCCGGCTGTTCCCAGGATGTTGGGGGCATGGCATCTGGTGCTTTGGGCTTCAGTGTCAGCTTAAACCACAGCGCGAGAGACCGAGCTTAGATTCGAGGACAATCTTTCTGAGTACAATAGCTGAATGACACCTGAACAGGCTGCTCAGAGAGGCTAAGAAGTGGGTTTCAGATGAGTACCTCCTGGTAAGAAAGGTGTGTCCATCTTCTGTCACCCTCGTGACGTCAAGAGAAAAGCCAGGGTCTAGAATCAAAGAGACAGCTCCCAGGCTCGTTTCACTGTTTCCCAGCTTGTGCTTTTGTTCAAGTTATTTAACTCCCCTGGGCCTCAGTTTCCTCTTCTGAAAACTGACGCTAAAGGCTGACCAGCTTTTGCAAAGCTGTGGAGACAGTAAATGAGATGCCATTCGTTGAGTGCCCTGCCCAGAGCCTGGCACAGTGTAGACACTTAATAAATTCTATTTCCTTCCTCCAGCCCCAGGGAAACCTGGTCTCAAAGTATGTACTCAGGAGACACGTTCTAGATTAAATCTCCCCCAGAAAGCACAGGCGCCAGCTTCTCTCCAACCAGGGTGGCTGGGCAAGGAGTTTTACGCAATGAGACCCAGGGGCCCCTCTCAGAAGGCTTGGCTCTCCCCCAAAATGATCTGATTCTCAGGATAACAGAGGTTCCCCTCAATCTGCTCTTTCCAGCAGGGCTAGGAAACCAGTTCTTCCTCTCCCCACTGACCCAGCCCAGCCACAGCACCCAGAGTTTTCCACTTCCTCGTTCCCTGCCCTCTCTCCAGGGCTAAGGACCCCAGAGGAACCAGCCCCAGACCAGAGGCAACAAACCAGGTGTGCATGGATGTCGCTGCTTTCATGGGCCTGAGAGCAGAGACACTGGGGTCAGGAGAGTCGCCAGATTTTGAGAGAGGAGGGCAATAGGGGTTGGTGTTGCTTTGGATTTAAGCTTGGGGAAATCAGGGAGGGCTTCCTGGAGCTGAGGGTTTTTTCCTCCTGAACACTTTAAGTGCTTCGTGCAGAGGAGATGGGGGCTTCAGGGGCATGGGGGCCAGCTTTGCACGGGGGCAGAGATGGGAACCGACTCTGCCACCCTAGAGGTCTGGTGTGCCTGGCTAGTAAGGAGAGAATTTCAAATAGCACATGTGCTGAAGGCCAGAAGCAAGGAGGAGGGTCCTGACAACTGGGAAGGGCTGGGGCCTGAGGTCCCAGAAGAAACCCTGGTCTTGGAGTTATACAAACATGGGGCTCAGTCCCAGCCCTCATGCTTCCTATTCAACCATGAGGCCACTGGGCAAGCCCTGCATCTCCCCAACTACCTCATCTCTAAGTTTCCTCATCTCTAAGATGAGAGTAATCAACCCTGACCACCCATAGTCATGAGTATTGAATGAGACCCATGGGTGGGTGTGCCTAGCAGAGTGCCAGTCACACAGTGATGAACCCATACAATCCATGCTGTCAATCGGTAAATAGTCAGCAGTTATCATATTTATTCCTTTTGCATGCTATAGAAATAAAAATAATTTATATTAAAAAATAATAATTAGTTCATATGTCAAGTTCTGTGCCAAGTCTGCAAAATTGCTTTGAGGAACCACCTCCTCACCCACTCACCCACCCACTCCCATCTCCTGCTCCCATGATCACCAAATGGAGTAAGTCAGGCAGCAAGTCACCTGAGCAGCGTGGGTTTGTCCCTGGAACCCTGGGTACCCCAAGGAATGAATTATCACCACGCCGGGAAGAAGCCAAAGTAGGGGGAGATGTCAGGATGTGGGCCCTGGGCCTCCTCAGAGGCCCTAACACAAAAAACTGACACACTACCAAGAGATATTTGAAAAAGGGAAATCAATTTTTTTTATTGCATGGACAGAAAAGGTACGAAAGAACCTGTTACACAAATGAGGCGGGGAGAGCTGGAGGGCAGAGGGAGGGAGAGCTAGCAAAGCTCCGAACTAGGAGACAGGGAGCCCTCTTGAGCTGGACCCTCTGAAGGCAGAAAGGAATTTGCTTTTCCAGCCCCTCCGGCCAGTCCCCTGCTCAGCCTGGGGAGGACGGGCGTGTGAGGGGCATCTTTTCTGCACTGGGCACTCAGATTTCTGTCTTGCGGGAAGAAACCACCTTCCCATCCACTGACTCCTCAACGTTGATGTGAAGTTTGCCGCCACGGCCACCTCCCAGGGACACTAGAAAGGAGGAACAAGCTTTAGAGTGGGGGAGCCTCCCTGTTCTCCTCCACTCTCAAGGGGGCAGGACCTTGGCTGAGCTCCGGGAGAACCGGACAGCACCCTTGATCCTTCCAGAGCTGCCAGAGGGCTGGTATTGAATCACTCATCGCAGGGGAGGGTGGTGGCCGCGGCTGGTATGCCCCGCAGTGAGCAACAATGTCAGGGTTTTTAACTGCACGTGAACAGGGAGTCATCCTAGGCATCTTAGCATAAGTGCATGAAGGTGGGGCCTGAGGGGCTATGCCCTAGACAGAGCCTGCTCAACCTGGAAGGGACTCCATAAATCTTCAACCCCAACTCTACTGGGGGCTGATAGAGGGTCCCAGAGTGGAAGAGGTGTCAACTGGAATGGGTGTGTCCCACCCTACTGAAATAATTGGCCTCCCCATTCCAAGGGGAAGGGTGGCTTTTACCACCCCTCCCCACTTCTTACCTTCTCTGGTGCCAACGCCAGGCATCCTGAAAGAGGGGGGAGCAGATGTAAGCAAAGGCAGAAGCTCAGGTCTCCCTAAGGGAGGCCCCTGTGGCCAGCTCAGCAGTCGTCCCCAGCCCCCTACACCTACCACCCCGACACCTGACTTCTCTAGAGGCTGAGAGCTTCTCCTGACATGCCACCCACACATACAGACAGATTCTGACCTACAATAACGCCCATCTGTTTCATGCATGGGATGGAATCAGCATTAGCCCAAACGCTGTCATTTACCGAAGACACATAGGTTCAGGGAAGTGACGTGACCTGCCCAAGGTAACAGCCAGAGACCAGAGTGCAGAACGCAGAGCCCTTCCTCCTCGCCTAGTTTTCTTTCACCGCAGCACTATCGGCCCCACAGATGACTCTCCACCCCGACAACTGGCCTCTTCCTCATTCCTCCCTTGGCACCCTGGCCCTGCCTGGCATCCTGGCCCTCCAGCAGGTTCCGGTAGGTGGTGATCTCCTGCTCCAGCCGTGTCTTGATGTCCAGCAGGATCTTGTACTCCTGGTTCTGAGCCTCCATCTCGCAGCGGAGCTCACCCAGCTGGGCCTCCAGGCCGCTGACCAGCCCCTGGATCTGCTGCAGCTGCGTGGCGTAGCGGCACTCTGTCTCCGCCAGCGAGCTCTCCAGCCCGGCTTTCTAGTGGGGCAACAGATCAATGGACACTGTGTCAGGCTAGAAGGAAGCACCAGGGGCATCGGGAGAGGCACTGAATGAACGCAGAGAACCCCCTCTGTGGGGGTTGGGAAGGCCAAGGTTTAATCAACCACAGAGGGTGGGATAGACCAGGGTGGGGTGGGGTAGGGCGGCCATACCATGCTGAGCTGGGACTGCAGCTCGATCTCCAGCCCCTGCATGGTGCGTCTCAGGTCTGTGATCTCTGTCTTGGTGGTCTGGATCATCTCTGTGTTGGAGGCCACCTCCTTGTTCAGCTCCTCGGTCTGTAGGTCGCACACATAGAAGTGAGCCCCATGGCATGGGCTTGCTTCCTGGGAGACTTGGGGAGCTGGGGCAGGCTGGGAGGTCAGGCTCACCTTGCTGAAGAACCAGGCCTCAGCATCTCGGCGGTTCTTCTCAGCTATGGCCTCGTACTGCTCCCTCATCTCCGCCAGCACGCGGGTCAGGTCCACGCCCGGGGCTGCGTCCATCTCCACGTTGACCTGGCCAGCCAGCTGGCTGCCGAACTCCTTCATCTCCTGCAGGGTGGTGACAGAGGGTAGGAGAGCAGAGAGTCTGGGGTCCCACGTGCCAATCCCGATCTGTCCCTAATTCACTACATTACCTTGGCTCTCCCCTGTACCCACCCAGCCTCTGTTTCCCGCTGCCCAGGAAGAGGTTTGATCGCATGGGCCCCTCAGCTCTCAGGGCCTCTCTTCCTCTCTAGGCGCTACCAAGGAAGGATCTCAAAACAGCAGGGCCTTTGCATAAGCTCATGAAGCAGATCAGGACAGCAGATCCCACTGGACCAGAGAAGGAAAAGGGGCTCGATCACCGGAGAACAGTGCTCCTTCCTCTCCATGGAGACCCCTGTTTTGGTGTGGGGAGGTGCGTTTCTGAACCACTAAACCCCACAGACAACTATGAGGAGGCACCAGCAGCCCCACTCTGGTCTCCCAGCCCCACCTCCTCATGGTTCTTCCTCAGGTAGGCCAGCTCCTCATTCAGGCTCTCGATCTGCATCTCCAGGTCAGCCTTGGCCAGGGTCAGCTCGTCCAGCACCCTGCGCAGACCATTGATGTCAGCGTCCACGCTCTGGCGCAGGGCCAGCTCGTTTTCATACCTGGGAAGAGAGAGGGAACGCAACGTAAGTAAGGGTGAGGGGTCTGGGCTGCTTGAGCTGGAGGAAGGAGAGAGGCCAAGAAAAGAGGGGAATGCAGAAGGGGAGAGGGGGCAGGAACGCACTTGAGTCTGAAGTCATCCGCAGCCAACCTGGCGTTGTCAATCTCCAGGATGACCCGGGAGTTGTCAATGGTGGCTGCCAGGATCTGTAGGAGACAGAGAGTTGGGTGCCAAGAGGATCCCTCTCTCTTCCCTGCTGTTCTTCCCCTACCCTGTGCCCCAGGTCACCATCCCCTCCCACACTGACAATCTCTCCTCTGCCACCACTGACAGAAATCTGAATCCAACCTTGTCTCAGATGCCCACTACTTGGTCTGCCCATCTCAGGGGCATGGAAGACCAAGGAACCAGGATTGCCTGGCAACCCCTGTGGGAATAGTGTGGCCAGGACTGGAGTGTGTGGGGAGTGCGGGGGCTCTAACAACAGCCCTCTCAGGGATATTCCACCAGCCTCCCCTTGGACAGCTCGCAGCTGCTGGTCCTCCCCTGCACACCTTGACACAGCCAAGGATCTACAGACCGTCCCAGCCGGTAGGAGGGACCTAGAGGGCAGCTGAGGAAGGCATCTTACAGCTGAGAAAACCAGTCCAGGTGAGTGACAGGGTGAGTGAGTGGGTAGCAGAGCCCATAATGAGTTTCAGGTCTTCGAAGTCCCGATAGTGCTTTTGGCACCAAGGGCATCCCCAGTGGGTGTGGCAGGAAGCCCTGTCACTCAGGGCTCCTGAAGCTACACTCATCAGTCTCGCAAAAGAAGCAAAGGACACTTCTGCAGAGCCCTGCAGGGTGTGTGGTTCAGGGAGAGCGGTTGCTTTCTGTAATTGTGCCCAGCTTGGCCCCTATGGGTCCTGACCAGACTCCCAGGATCGGCCTGGCACTGCCAAGCTGAGCAGATGGGCACCGGCATCCACACCTAGAAATCATTCCCTGGGCTCCACGTTTGCCAAGTTTACACACTGGCAGTCACTGCCTGGGCAGGAAAGGATTTCCCCAAGGCAGCAGGAACACTGATGTTAGAGATGTGGACAGGGCACCAGCCATCTGCCCCCTCTCTCTGACCCGTGAGGACTCACCTTGTCCCGGAGCTCCTCGATGGTCTTAAAGTAGTGGCTGTAGTCGCGCTCCGGGCTGGCCGGGCTCTGCCTCTGGTACCAGTCTCGGATCTTCACCTCCAGGTCGGTGTTGGCCTCCTCCAGGGCCCTCACCTTGTCCAGGTAGGAGGCCAGGCGGTCGTTGAGGTTCTGCATGGTGATCTTCTCATTGCCAGAGAGGAGGCCGCCATCACCACCACCGAAGCCACCACCAAAACCCCCACCAAAGCTACTTCCAAGACCACCTGCAAAACCTCCACCATAGCCACTACCAGCCCCTCCACCAAAGCCGCAGCTCATGCCACCCCCGTAGCCCCCTCCTGACCCCGAGGAGACAAACCTTGCAGAAGAAGCTGTGATACTTCGGCTTCCACCTCCCCCATAGAGACTCCCCCCACCAAAGCCACCTCCTCCAACCCGGAGGGCACCCCCCCGGGTAGAGCCACCTCCAAAGGTGGAGGAAGAAGTCTGCAGAAACGTGGTGCTCATGGCCAGGCAGCAGCTGGTGAGCTCTCAGCAAGCACAGAGGATGCTGGTGGAAGGCACAGGCTGCCCTGAAACCGGAGTGCTATGCCTGTCACCCCCCCAGTCCTGAGGCTCCTTATATACCCCCTGGAGGGTGTTGTGGGTTCACGTCTCCTCCCCCAAAGGGAAGCCAACTCCTTCTGCATTCCTGACAAACACAGCTGCCTGCACACCTCCATGTGGCTGGTGTGGAGTTTTGCTTTGCTTTCTTTTTTTTTCAGTGCAACAAAAGAGGTGATTCAGAATGGATGGTGTTGTTGCCCCAGGCCATGGTTTTAACACTTGGATTTCAGGTTCATTTTTACACTCTGTGTTGAGTAAGTAGAGTAGCAGGGAGCAAAGTCACATCAAGCCAGAGCACAGAGCAGCTCAGGCCAGCTCTGCCCTCAGCTGGACTCTCTACTGCCCACAGCCTGAGACCCTCGCCCCTAGGTGGCCAGCTACCTGCTCTCAGTTCCCATCCCTGCTCTGTGGTCTCCAGCTCACAGACCCCCTGTGTGTGCCTACAGGACCCTGAGAGAACCATGGCCTTCAGGGGATCGGTGGGCAGAGGCACATGGAGGGCCCATGGGGACAGGCTGAGGATAGGGGCAGCGGTGTTGAGTCAAGTTGCGGCTGAGGTGACCAGAAGGGACAGCATCTGTCACTACCCTGGTGATGCAAATGGACTCTCCTTCTCCACTCCTCCCCCAGCCCCAGCCCCACTGCACTGGCACCCTCACAAAGGCCAGCAGGCTCCGGGCTGACAAGGGGCTGATTGATAATCCCGCCACCTGCCAACTACACATGTCACTGAAACTTTGCTTACTCCTGGGACACGTTGGGGCAAACCTCTGCAGATAAGACTGGGACAAGTTTCAGGAAGCCCCTACCTTTGGGGAGAGACATGTCACGGCACAGCAGGGCCAGATTAAAGCTGCTGCCTCTGTTTCTCCTGCAAAGCTGCAAGGCTGAGGAGGGACCCTATCCAGAAGGCTCTGTGTGCCTGAGCTGTGGGGATGGAGACGATAGGAAGGCCTGGCAGGCAGACGGAGATCTTAAAGGCAGGATGCTGAGGCCACAGAGGGGAGCCCTTTTCTCTGCCACCAGCTCAGGGCCTGGCTTTCCGTGGATACCTGATACCTGTGGGCAGTGCCACTTGGAGGCGTGGCTTTGGCTCCAGGACTTAGGAAGAAAAGGGGTTGGGGAAGTCAGCAAGACTGAACTGGACAGTCAGGAGGATGGTTCCTGGCCCAGGGCTGCACCGCAGTGCAGTGGGCAGGGCTCTGGGTACCCTCAGTCCAAGGTTCAAATCCTACCTCTATTAGTTGCTGTCTGTGAAACCTTTAAGTCTCAGTTTCTTTTGGCAAATGGGCACTTTCAGTTCCCACCTTCAGGGAAGCCCTGAGGCCCAAGATTCCCCTCCTGTCTCCTCCTAGTGCCCCACCTTCTAAGGGGCCAGGTGGTGGGGTAAGTGTCCATCACCTGGGACCCCTGAGTACCCTCGCCAGGAGGGACTTTTGTCCTCGTGCCCTGTGAGCAGCATCACTCTTCCACATTCTTCCATAGCCAGTGCGTGTTGGACAATGCAGATCGTTATTATTGCCATAATAACAGTAATCCATTACTCCCACTGCATTTTACGGTGTACAAAGTGCTTCTGCATCCAACATCTCCTCTAAACCTCGTTCACAGATGACCCCTGGTCTTGCTTCAGGAGGAATGACTTTGCAGCTCAGAGAGGGGAAGCGATTTGGACAAGGTGGCACAGCTAGTAAGGGGCATCTCCAGGACTCAAATGGCCCTCTGACCCTCACTCAAACAGAGGACAGGACAAGAGGGTCCCTCCCACTGACCCCAGATTCCTGCATGTGAGTTGAAGTGGTGGGAGGGGGACCACAGGCCTGGGTGGGTGGGCTTGGGCTCCTCCTCGCCCAGCATCACAGCGAGCAGGGCCTCCGAGTGCTGGGCCCAGACAGTGCAGTATTGTCTCATGGGTGGGGGAATATTTTCTTCCTCCAAAAGAAAATAACCAAAGTCAGACCAGCCATAGCTCATTAAAGCCTCTGCAGACATTACGGCCCCAGCAATTAAGACAGGAACAATTACACGACATCACCCCCGGGCAAGGGAAGGCTGGATCGTAGCCAGCCCCTCTTCAGCACCCGACTCCCCTTTAGCCCCTTCGGGCGACTTTCCCTCTACTCTCAGGTCCATGCAGGGCAACAGCTGCCCCAGTTGCAAATCCCTGGTTCGGTACCAATAGCTCCTGTGAGCTCAAGGTCCGGATGGGCAATGGCTGGCCAGGCCAGAGATCAGGCTCTGTTTGGCCCACCCCAGGCTGCAGCCTGCCCAGGATGTGGTGCCAGTTTCAGAACTTTGTCCACGGCAGACAGGCTGTCCCTGGAGCTGGCCTCTCCTCCTTGGGATGGGGTGATGCAGCCCAGTGGAAAGAGCTCAGTTGGACTCCACCTCTGGGTGTGATTAAACTTCTCCGAGTCAGGTTCCCGACTTAAAATTCGGTCATTTTTCCACTTACATGAGGTACTTAAAGTAGTCAAAACCATGAAAACAGAAAGTGGAATTGTGGTTGCCAGGGGCAGGGGGAGAATGGGGAGTTATTGTTTAATAGGTATAGAGTTTCGTTTTACAAGAGTTAGGAGGAAAGAGTGATGAGGATGGGTGGTGGTGGTGGTTACACAACAATTTGAATGTACTTAATACCACTTAACTGCACACTTAAAAATGGTTAAGATGGCCCAGCCAGGTGTGGCTCAGCGGCTGAGCTTCAACCTAGGATCCAGGCGATCAGGGTTTGACTCCCGGTCAGGGCACATGCCCAGGTTGCGGGTTCGATCCCCAACCAGGGACGTGCAGGAGGCAGCCGATCAATGACCCTCTCATCATTGATATTTCTCTCTCTCTCCCTCCCTCTCCTTTCCTCTCCCTGAAATCAATAAAGGTATATATTTTTTTAAATTGGCTAAGATGATAAACATGTTATTTATTTTACAATTTAAAGGAAAAAATTAGGCCTTAACACGGACACCAGCTACAGTGCCACAGAGAGCATTTGATGGCCCCTACCTCCCACCCCAGGAGAGATGCTAGGGACAGAGTACCTGGGGCCTGGAGACCTATCTTTGAATTCTTTCTTTCTCATTCATTAAGTGTGTGGCTTTGGGTAACCATGCCTCCTCTGTCTGAGCCTTAGTCTACCAATCTGGAAAAGAGAAACAACTCCTGCCCAGTCTCACAGGGATGGAGCGACGGGCTTGACAGGAAGTGCTTTGCAAACTGAAGCGGCCATATGGCCAGCAGGAATGGAAAGACCTCACCCCCCAAATCCCTCCCCGTTTCTCTCCCTCTCTCCCACTTCTCTATGGCAGCTGCTTGTGTCAACAAAGTACCCCTAGTTTCAGCTCCCAGACCAAGACAGAAAAGTGTTCCCGCCCTTGCCTTCTCTCCACCACTCACACACACAAAGGACAGCTTCATTCCCAACACCCAGACCTGTGCCCCACCTGTGTGGACCCAGACCCCGCCCCTCAGCCACATTCCAGGGGCCTCTGGGGCATGGGGGAGGGTTTCAGCTGTGACAACAGAGGCTTTCATGAACTGGGGACAAATATCTCTGAGAAATCCCAGCCTGGGGTGTGGCCAGGTCTCTGGCCATTAGCTCCAAGGCCTCCTGAGAAGTTAAGTGGGAGAGGGGGGCTGTGGTGCTGCAGGCCAGAGCAGAACAGCTAGGGAGGTGCCAGAAGAGGCTCCTGGTCCAGGGCTGCAGCAGGTGAGGGAAGAGCTGGGCTCTGGAGTCACCAACCATGTGGTTTGGAGCGAGCTAATAAATCTCTCCAAGGCCCCAGGCAAATGGCAGGATTAACATGGGAATGACAGGGCCACAGGCCTCCCTAGCACAGTGCTGGGCTCCCAGTAACAAGCATTCCATTCCCCTACAGACCCTGGGGGGACGGGGTAGAGAGTTCCTCGCTGGCCCCTCTCCCTTACAGGGTAGGCCTGCTGTCACAGACCCGTAGGACCTGAACAGATCCACTCAGCCTGAACCACTCAGCCAGGGCCAAGTGGGACTTATTTACCTTTAATTGGCCTCAGTTTTTGGCAACAAAGCTATAAACCACAGGGGCAGGACCATACCCACCCAAGGGCAGAGTTGTACCAGGAAGCTGAGACTTGCGTTCTGGCTGGCCCAGCCCCAGGCGAGCCAAGTTGGGGGAGCCAGGTTGGGGGGTCGGTGTGGGAGGTCTGGGTCACATCTGGGTCCCATTCCAGGCTCTGGGCCCAGGTATGGGATGGTGGGCAAAGGGGCTTATGTGGGACTGCCTAGGAACGGATGGATGTGTTAGTGCCTGCACACAGACACTCACCAGCAGGCACTCTCCAGTCTTGCTGAGTGGGATGCCGGCCCCCATTACTCCGGCTCTCACCCCAAGGTGCCAGTTTCTCCTGTCCAGTGTAAAAATGTTTCAGCAGGAACTGCCCCAGGGGATCCCTGTCCTAGGCCTTCATGTGGAGCAAGACTGAAATGTACTGAGGACCTGGCACAAGTGGTACGGATCCTAGGAGATGTGGTACAGGATTAGCACTGAGTTAAGAATCAGGAAACCTAGATTCTAGGTTCTTAACTCTGCCCCGTAATTGCCGTGTGGCCTTGGACAAGTTAGTTAACCTCTGAGCCTGATTCCTGCTCTATAAGATCAACTCATACTTACTACCTTTTAGGGTTGTTTTGATTAAATGGCACATAGTAGGTGCTCAGTAAACATTAACTTCATACACAAAAACACCAACCCTTGGAGGAATACAGTTGAAAGAAAACTAATCTGGAAGCAAAAAATCCCACCCTGCCACGTGTTAGAATAGTTACATATATAACAAACCGATTCACCTTTCTGAGCCTTAGTTTACCCCTCTGTAAAATGGGAGCAATGCCTATTTCATGTTTAAGAAACAGATTAATGAAGACTTCTTCAAAAAGGAATTACCGTAACAGTCTGAGTTTGTGAGCACCCTCCCTTCCCTTTCCTGGGACTCTGATCCAAATAAAACCTAAACAGGGCCAAGCCTTGGCTCATTTCCATGGGCTGAAATAACAAACCCGATGTCCTTCCTCCCTTGGGCCATAATATTTTATTGACAGGTTAGAGGAAGAGCCAGAGGTAAGGGTCCCTCCCCTCCCCCGCCCCCTACCAGGAGCATTCCTCCCTCTGCTGAAAGCAGGAAGCCCAGGAGGCTGCTGGACTCAGGCAGTCTTGGTGGTGAGGTTGTTGTAGTAGGCGTCCTGGCCCTCAAGCAGGCTGCGGTAGGTGGCGATCTCCTGCTCCAGCCGCGTCTTGATGTCCATGAGCTGCCTGTACTCCAGGTTCTGCCGCTCGGTGTCAGCACGGACATCACTCAGCTGGGCTTCGATACTGCTGATCAGCGCCTGGATCTGTGCCAGCTGGGCTCCATAGCGAGCCTCTGTTTCCGCCAGCGTGCCTTCCAGGGCAGCTTTCTGAGGGCAGGGAGAGAAAAGGTGACTCAGCGGGGCCTGGTTCCCAGAGAGGGCAGGGACACAGCCACGGCCCAGACTGCCCAAGTCTGCAAGGACCTGAGTGTGCATCCCACAGGGAGGGGGGCACATACCATGCTGAGCTGAGACTGCAGCTCGATCTCCAGACCCTGGAGGGTGCGACGCAGGTCAGTGACCTCCGTCTTGCTCATCTGCAGTTGCTCCGTGTGGCCAGCGACCTCCCGGTTCAGCTCCTCAGTCTGCAATGAGAGGAAGCGGAGGGAATGAGCACTGAGGCAGAACTTTGCCTCAGAGCTTCAAGCCCTCTCTCCTTGCCACATCCCCAAAGGGCACCTTCTTCCCCCTTCATACCTGGCTGATGAACCAGGTTTCAGCATCCTTCCGGTTCTTCTCAGCCATGACCTCATACTGGCTTCTCATGTCACTCAGGATCTTGGCTAGGTCAATGCCAGGAGCGGAATCCACCTCCACACTGACCTGGCCACCCACCTGGCCCCTCAGAGCACTAATTTCCTGGAAAGACAGGGCAGAGATGGACATGTCAGGGCCCAGAGCCTGCTGGGCCTGAGCCAGGTCACTTCCCAACCCCTCAGGCCAAAGGGGGCTGGTTTTCAGGTGCAGACCTAGGGGCTGGCACTGGCGGACAGACTGGGTTTCCACCATCCCCTGCTGGAACCCTGGAAGCTATGCTCCACACGTAGGGCCACGCTGAGAGTGCAGCAAGTGTGGCCATGATCAGAGTATACAGAATACAAAAGTGTCCTCAGCCCTGGGAAGCTGGGGTGGCCCAGCGGGAAACCCACCTCCTCATGGTTCTTCTTCAGGTAGGCGAGCTCCTCCTTCAGGCCTTCAATCTGCATCTCCAGGTCGGCTCTGGCCAGGGTCAGCTCATCCAGCACCTTGCGCAGGCCATTGATGTCGGCCTCCACGCTCATGCGCAGGGCCAGCTCCGTCTCGTACCTTTCAGAGGAAATAGCTGCAGTCAGGCCAGCATTTCCTCTGTACCTCTGAAGACTCCCCCACTTCCCCAGGGTCCAGAGTCTGTGAGGGGTGTGCTTCGGACCAGTGCCCCCACTGCACTGAGCCCTAAAAGGGCCTGGTATTGCCTCCCCTGCCCCACCCGGGGGCAGAGGTGCTCACTTGGTTCGGAAGTCATCCGCAGCCAGACGGGCATTGTCGATCTGCAGGACAACCTTGGAGTTCTCAATGGTGGCACCAAGAATCTAGAAGGCAGAAGGTTGGCAGTTCAGCACACTGGCACTGCCCACCACTTTCCTTTCAAAGAGATGGGAGCAAATGAGTATGCTCTCACTCCCTGGAGACAAGCCCCAACCACTCCTCACTGCCCACAAGCCTACGGTCTGGTAGGCCTTGGAATCAGTCCCTGACCCGGAGCTGAAGCAGTGGTTTCTTTTTTATTTTTTTTTTAATATATCTTTATTGATTTCAGAGAGAGGAAAGGAGAGGGAGAGGGAGATAGAAACATCAATGATGAGAGAATCATTGATCAAGCCCGCAACTGGGCATGTGCCCTGACCGGGAATCGAACCCCGATCGTCTGGATCCCAGGTCGACGCTCAACCGCTGAGCCACGCTAGGCAGGGCAGCAGTGGTTTCTCACCACTGCCCAGGACGCTGAGCCAGGGGGTAGGTGATGAGCAGGGGAGGGCAGGCAGGTAAGCTTGGAGAGACTGTGCCCAGGGAAACTCTAGATGGTGTCAAGGAAGGCAGCCTCTATGATATGAAAGCCAAAAGCAGGGAAGTGGCGGGGGTTACCCCCCTCCCCCCAATCTATACTCCTCACTCAAAGCAGTCTGCCTCAAGTAAGGAAATCTGTTGAGCACATGCATCTATTATATGCCAGGCACCTTAACCTTACATTTCTTTCATGTCAGGTCAGTGGGTACAACTATGTCATGGGGATGGGAAGTGAAGTTGAGGTGGAAAGCGAAGTTCAGAACTCCTTGTCACCCCCAATCTCAGGTCCCTCTGACCTGAGGGGCATGGTCACACCATTTAGCTACTTGCATTCGGATCATGGCGCATTAGCCGTTGTAATGCATGGTGATTTGCATAGTTTTTAAATGAAACAATAGATTATACACATATCAGAAGGGACTGCTCACAGTAGGATAAGGATGGTTTCAAGAAGCTTTTGTCTCCATTGTGGTGTGTATGAGAGAATATGAGGACACATCTTAAAATGCATTTCTTATCATAGGTCACGATTTGAAAGGTGGGCTGTGTACCTCTAGCTCCCCCTCTTTGTCTACAGTCTGATCTATGTCCCTGTCACCCAGCACCATGCCAGGCACAGGGCAGACACTGGGCAGTGCTATGGGGAGACCCAGAACGTGGGGTCACTAAAATGTCCCACTGGCTTCCCATACATGTCTTCAGGACAGAGCTCCAAGCTCTTCCCTGTGGGTGGAGACCGAGCCCCACCCTGCAGGCTCCCAGGTCTCCAGCCCAGGACACAGAGAAGTGCTGCTGCACCGGGTCCTCGGACAGAGGTCTCCACAAGCAAAGAACCCCAGGGCCTCTGCATCTGCCCCTCCTTTACCCTGTCCAGGGGTCACAGCACATGTCCCCCTTAACCTGCCAGGGCCACAGGTGGCCTCTCCCATGCTTCCTAGAGTTTCTCTCAAGTGCCAGGTGGTCCCTAGGCCCGGGAGGAGGGGCCTGAGCGTAAAGGAAACCAGACGTGGGGAGTCAGAAAAAAGGAAAGCAGAGGGCCCCCCCACGGGGCAGCAGGGGCAGGCTGGCCCGGGCGGACCAGATTCCTCCCAGGCCAAACCGTGGCCCCTGGCCTAGACCTCCGGGCGTGGCCCACGTCCTTCCACTTCTCCGGACCCCTTTTCCCTGGCCTCCCCCCTCCAACCCAGCCCCCCATTCATACCCCAACCACTTACTGCCCACCGCGCCCCCCCTTTCCACACCCTGGTCCCGCCACCCGGGCCCCCACTTCCTGCGCCACAGG